ATGTCTGAGCCAGAAGATGGATAACAATGCTAACAAGGAAACATCAGAGGTGAGTGTGATCATAAACAGGGAGGATATGCAAGATATCTTCCAGATAGAGGGGGGGAAATGGAGCTCTAGGCACTGTCCAAAACAAACAGGAGTCACCATGAGTGGATGGGGGTCATTCCAGGCTACTCTGTGCATGACATCAGAGCCAGTGTTGCACTCCACATGGCTTTACAAAGTTTGGCTTTAACACTTGAATGTCAGTGGCAGAACAGAAAAACGCTGCACCTACAAAGAAAGCCAAGAAGGAAACTCAAGGAGATAGAAGTAAAGAGTCCAATTTCACCTGAGGGAACAATTAAGAATCATTTATTGAGGATGAACTAATGGATCTTTATTTTTAGAGGAGAGCGTTGGGGAATTTTAAGAGTTTCCCGCTCTTAGCTTGTATTTAAATAATAAATAACTATCTGAGTTCTGGGGAATGTTCAAGACACCAGTTCATGCAGTTGCAGGCAGGCCACAAGAAATAGTTTTCAAAATCAAAATAGCAATCAGCCTTCCTGGAGCCAATTCAGATGTTCTGACATCTCTTCAGGAAACAATCAGGTAAATAATTTCACCTATTGTTGTTAATGGGGTCTGTCCAGTTAAGTTAGGGGACATTCCTGCAGTTACAGCATTGATCTGTAATGCATCATTCAGCAAGAAAGTCTGTAAAAAATACATCCTGCAAAAGTAATCCTGATGGATTTTCAGCCATCGACAGACTGAAAAAGCCTGGCTATAAATGCACCTGTATTGAAGTCTCTCTGTGGCTGAAAGAAGGGTTGAAAATCAAATTTCATGCCTTTCATCTGCCTGAAACTACTAAGTAAAATGCAGACCCACAAAGCTAGCCCTAATTATTTACTTTGAAAACAACATGCACTTTGTATTGAGCACAGCCTTTAACTCAGCCTGTGAGCTATTTCTGGGGACTGTGTCTTTGGCTCTGCACTCCACACACAGACAGCAGCAAAAGGTCAGTCATGAGTTAACATCAGAGCTGGAAGGCAGTGAAGAGCCCTGCTAATCAGACTTGCTCCTGACCACTGACTGCTCAAAGGGCAGAGTGGGGCTAGATGCTAATGCATTTGACCCTTCAAAAGCTTGGTAGCCAATTAGCTTCCTAAAGGCTGTGATGAGCTGGACTCATTTACTCTGCATCCCCGAACTCCTCTGTGGTGTTTAACAAGCAGCAGGACCACCGACAGCTGCCCAACAGGGCCCTGTGCACACTCAGCACTCAGGCCATGTACCTGGCCCCTGGAGAGAAAAACAGATATAAAAAGCACAGCTTGGGGTGACTTCCACAGAAAAAGCATTGTCATTTGCCATACTGTATGCTTCCAGTCAGTTCCATCATTTTCCAAAGTTATCCTTGAATTTTCAGGAACGGGTCCAGGACATCAATTCACTTTGCAGCATGAAAGGCAGGCCTTATGTTCTCTTCCAGAGCATCAAAGTCATAAACACCTGGAAAACTCATGGTGATCCTTGTTATCTTATTTGGAAAGGTGCTTACTGAAATGCCAGACCTGGTCTGAAGGTGCTCACACCTTTGTTTGACACGTCCAGCTCATGTTTCTGTCTGCCTCACCACAACATTCTTGGCCAGTACTGGAGTCCATCACCACAGAACACTCCATTCCCATCCGTAACTCACAAATTGGCAGAGTGACTGATTTTCTTTTCAGATATCAAAGCAAGTTTTCCAGGGCTCACAAAGGCAAATCTAGGTAGATAAATGCAGAGACACACTATCAGAGACTGCTTCTATCCCCCAGTGTCCTTCAATCAATGCCACCCTTGAAGATCAGCAGGGCTGATAGCACAGCAACCAAACCGTGCAGTGTGAACACCCTTTATCTGAGAAATAACTGCACATACTTAGTCAGCTACTTGTGAAGGGCATTTATTGGGCTGGTACCAAATCACTGAAACACTTAGCATATTCTTAAGTCACATATGTCCCACAAGTGAAGTGTGTCCTTGGCAGGAAGCTGAATCTGAACAGACTTAAACACTTGCTTAAGTATAAGCACATACGTAAGTGTCTCACTGAATTGTGGCTGTGTTGACATTTGTATTACTAGCCCAGGTGTCAAGCAGAATCATTTATTAGTTCCTTCTCTCTCCCCATTTACCTTTTCTTTTGCACTGGTGCCTTCATAGAGAGAAGTTGTTCTTCATACCAAGTAGGCAAAACTAATCAGTTTATTTTAATAAAGAGAGAGATTAGGTGAGAAGGACAATGGTGAGTGTGAAACTGGAGAGAGATGTCAATGTGCTATTTTCAAAGCCCCTAATTTTTTTTTTCAAGTGTTGTATTTTAGCACTTGGCACCAGTGATTAAGCAAAAATAAGACATTGGGTTCAGCAGCTTTGAGTTAGAATTTTTGTTTAAAATTTCCAGTAAGTTAAACTTAATGGAAAGTCAGGGATATTTATTTCATGTATTAAAAGGAAAGTTTCCCCTTTTAAGCTGAAAAGACAGAGATGGGGAATGTTACTTTTTTTTTTTTCTTGATATATACCAGTGATGCTGTTGTACTCTCAAAACTTCATATGCTTTTTATTCCTCTCGGTTGAGCTGCCACAACCCACCAAATGATACTTCAGCCTGGTGTCAGTTTGAGAGCTCCAGCTCCAGCTCAGGCTCAGCCACAATTCATCAGGATCAGATGGCAGCCAGCCCCAACTGCACCTCCTGTGCCTGGACACTGCTCACCCATCATGGAGCAAAAACAATCGTCTGAAGCTGCCCACCTGCTCCAGGGCCACTCTGTCAAATATGATACTTCAGTGGGGGACACCTCCCTGTCATTCTGATTTTTTGGATGTTGACACAGTGCTTTGAGTGAACATCTGTTGCTGCTACTCCGCTGTGGTCTCATTCAGACTCTCCAGAAGCAAAGATGAAAACATGTTTTGGTGGCTCCCTGCTGCCTGCTCCACCTGAGAAGCCTTCTGCCTTTCCTCTGGGCTGCTGAACAGCTGTGCCCAAATGACACCACATGCCCTCCTCTCTCTGAAACATCACTTTAATTCCCAGCTCCTCGCTCTCTGAATCCCCACCACTAGTGGCATTCCTCTGGATTTCTAGCTGTGCAGATTGCCATTTTCCCATCCCTTCATATAAATATCCCAGAACCAAGGGGAGATCACACCATTTCCTTTGCAGCTTATGAAAATGGTGAAGAAACAAGCAAATTAACTCATTAATCTGGCAGTAAATCACAGAGAGAAGCTCCAAGGTTGGGTGTTCCACTGGACAGGAGTGTGCTGAGATACTCAAACTGAATAAGGGTACTTGAAGCAGTGAGTTGCAGCCTTCTGTCCTCCCTGCTGTGGCTCTGTGCAAACCCCTTAGAGCCATGAACACTGTTTCACTTTAGCATTTTCTCATTATTCTGGTTTTGAGGTTTTCAGTGGATTTTGTACTCTTCCTATCTTGTTCCAGTTCTGCAAGCAAGAAAATTTTCCCTTTCTAAACAGCTTCAGTGGACCTGGGTGAGTTGAAAAGAAAAGGAAGGTTCCCCCACTGTGTGAGAATACTGTAAAAGAGAGGTGGGCAGGGTCAGGAAGGAGAGTTAGGCTGGGAAATGTAGAAAGGACAGTTATTTGTGTTCCTGCTCACAGTTAACCTGTGGGAAGTTGCCAGGGTCAGTTCTCACTCTGGATCTCAGCCTTTTTGGACTGCAGAAGTGAAAACTCCAACCAAAACAGCAGTCCTCTTGGGTTTCACACTTAGATATGGTATCAGCCCCTCTTTTCCAGAGATGACAGCAATTAGAGGACTATGGCTGATTCTTTCTCCCAACAGCCTCCTGCTTTAATGTCTCTGCAGCTGAGATGCAGCTGTCCCTCTGGACTGGTGACACTTGGGCTCAGGCACAAAGCTTACACACACTGTCACTCTAAATAGTGACAGCAATACAATCACAGCTACCTGCAGGATAGATATTTCCTCAGTAGGACAGCTTCCAGAGGTTCAAAGCTTTGCATGAGCAGAGCACACGAAGGCTCTGTGTGTTTACTAATCAGTGTTTCCATCTCTATGTGATCATTTGCTAAATTGCCATGAAAGTGGCACCACCAGCACTGAAGATGACACTTCTGTCTGGGTGCTGTAATCACACTGGATGCCTCTGAGCAGACTGCATAGCAAATGGGCACTGGAGATTTTAAATATCTCAGTTTTCATCATCAAACACCAAGAGCTAGTTCCTGTTTCCTTCTCAGTCACCTCTCCTGACGCCATCAGGCTATTGATGCAATGCTGAGTGATATGTGGCAGCATGTTACTCTCAGTGGAGATTAATTATTTCTTTTTTAAGACTCCTACATCCCCCATCCCCTCTGGGTCTCTCAGTTGGTAAAGTAGCATGTCAGAAACTAATGGGAAGGTGTGAGACATGACATGACTTTATGAGAAAATAAAATTAGGGACAAGGGAGAAGGAATTTGGATTTTGACAACAGACTTTGTTTTTCTGTTTGTTTCTTCCCCTTAATAATATGATTCTATTTTTATAACTGAATTAATTGCTGTGATTCATTCTGCAATTACTACAGGAAACGGGAGGGACTGCACCTGTGTTGGACCACGAGGGAGCCCAAAGTGGCTCTGGTTCCTCCCCACACTGACTAATCCCCTTTGTCTGCTGTGCACAAACACCAGTACCTGCCTGAAACCCCTTCAGCCCCCACATTTCCACTCACAGCTGTCTCCAGAGTGTCACAAGGAAAGATGATGGATGGGCAGACTTTTATTTCCATTAGAATGGAGCCAACTGAACATTTCCAACAGCTTTATTAAAAATACTAGTTCTTGCTTCGCTTAATCTTGAAAAATGTGACATGTTCCTGCAGCTGAGTTCGCATTTTGTCTGGGAAATGAATGCCTGAGGTGGAATGATTTTCTGGAGGAGCAGAGCACAGAGCAATTTAGTGTCTTTCCTTCCACAGGCAGAGAGGATCCAGCTTGGGAGAGAGAAGCTGACAGCCCACAGCTGCCACCTCCCCAAGGGGCTGTGCTTTGTTTTGGGTTTTGGGAACCTGACCCCTGAAATCCAGCAGCAAAGGCAGCCAGGCTGATCAAACTGGAGGTCTCCCTGTCCTCTCAGCCCCACTGCTCCCCTCCCCTGGGCTCTGAAGAGCGCTGCCCTCCCTGCTCAGGGTTTCTGTCATCCCTGCTGTTGACACACTGCTCATGACCCAGAGCTGGCATCACTCACAGAAGACTTTTGGAGGACAGCACTGAAGTGTTTGGGTTCAATGGGACGGGGTGGCAAGGAGGGAAACAAATTAGAGGCACAGGAGGGTGTCAGGTTCGGGTGAATAAATTCTTCATCATCACAGTGCCTGCACAACCAAAACTCTGTCAAATAGAGACTGTCCAAGGTTTTTTTCTTCTCTTGCATTGCTTTTCCTATTTCCCTCTTGCTTTCTCAGAAATAGAACATGACATTTATTTTTATGGACAGCAGGATCTTATGGCTATTCCCCTGTGATGGAGTAATCTGAACACAATTATGTTCTGTTGACAAAAAGTGATAAAAGTGTATTGTGTCAACACTCTGAACTAACAGATTTGTCATCTGCTCTACTCCCAAATAATAGAAGCAGAATTATAAAATGCTCTGACAGACTCTACCTTTTTCTGTGGTTAAATAAACGCCAGCTCTGTGCTTCGTTACTATACTCACAGTTCTCTCTCTTCCAGAAAAATCTGCCTGGCTGTGCTTTAAATTCAAGAGTAAATTTTGCTTTGATGGACTTCTTTTGGCAGCTTATAGCTCATATGCTCTGAAGTAATTTGACCTAAGTTCTCCATTTCATTTCAGTCTTACTACTCCCATTTCTTTCTATGGCTTTGAAAAATCCAAGCTTTTTTTATGACCTTTGTTTTCCTATGCAAATTTGCTTCTAGAAAATGTACTTTACAATAGTACCTGCATTATATCCTCCCTACATCTGATTTCTTCTTGAGTTCATGGACAGAAATCTACCTGGACTTATTTTCCTGAGACAGGAACCCACAGCTCACCCAACATGTATGGCCAGCCCTAAACACATGCAAATTTTCAGTGGAAAAATGTGCACATCTCATAACATAAAGCACCATTCCCTGCTAGTTTTGAAGACAAGTCTGCACTTCCAACTCTTGGTTAGTTGGAGGACAATTACTGCTTAAAAGTTAAAAGAATAATGATATCATTCAAGATAAGTAGAAAAAGCTTTTTCACGGCCAGAAAAAAAGAAGCAATTTCCAAAATTTCTGTAAAACATTTTGTTTTCCAGCTGTGGCTCTCTCACTGTTAAACACCATGGAATGGAATTTCCATCCAAAAGGGCATGTACAATGTATATTAAGTTTTTCCAAAATTAGGAAACAGTAGCCACCAGGTGCAAGTGAGTCAAGCATGACAGCATTTAGGTGCCTGAATAATACCTGTCTAAAAAGACCATGAGCACTGACCCCCTCATCAGAGCAAGAGAGCTGATAGTGCCCTGAGGATGCTCTTAGCTCACACAAACGGTTCCTCCTAAGCTCATTCCCCCAGCTTTCAGGTTAAGCACTCTGTCAGTCTGTAACTCCCAAAAATCAGCTCTTTTAGTACCACAAACCCCAGAGCAATTGGAATTCTCCTCTGATGTGAGGTGCATTCTGACTCTCCCTTCTTCCAGCCTACCCACCAGAGCCTCCTTTGCTCCCCAGCTCCTGCAGAGCCCCAGCACACCCAGCCACCAGGAGCTTGTCCCCGTGCAAGCAGCATTTTTCACTGGCTCTTCCTCTGCTTTGATGCATTTGTTGTTTGAACAGGCGAGTGCAATCGGTTCTGCCAGCAGAGTGAGATGAGCTGAGTGTGTGCACATGAAGAGAGACTGTTTATTCCCCTGATCCAGCTCCTGCCAGTGGGGTTTTTACTGTGGGGGTGGAATCAAGGCATTTACATCCTGAAATGAGAATAATTGTCTGGAATAGTGTTTTAGGGTATTTTGGCACCATATTCTGATACCCATAGCAACCTTAACAGAAAATTGAGCTGGACATTGCAATGGAAACATAACGCCATCTACAACTTAATTCACAACCCAAATTTCCCAGAAGAAGCCACAGCTCATTACCACACCTACAGAACTGCTCTTGAAAGAGAGCACAGATCTGACTCTTGTTCTTTCTCCTCCTCTCTCACTGACTTGGTTCTCAGCAAAAGGATGCTGCTGTGAGAAAACAGCAAAGGGAAAAAAAAGGTGTTAAAATTCTTTTCAGAATTGACTTAAAGCAGTAAAGATATTGAGTAATGAAAAAGGTTGGATAAAATGAAGAAATATCACTGCAAACCAGATTTTTCCTTACCCACCCGGTTAATGATGTCACTTAAGGCTTATCTATGTCTATGACACTTAAAGCTTATCAAATCAGTCTCATTTAATAAATGAGTATTTACCTTGTTTAATCAATAACTGTCTTTTTATCCTAATGTTCGATACAAGATGCAGATACTTAACATGATTTATTTTACTGAAACCATTTGGTCCTAACTATAATAATTTTTTGCAGTTACCTTCAAGATTAATTTTTGGTACAATTTTTTGGTCAAGACTTTAACACTAATCCAAAGTATTTTAGAATCCAACACACTGGCTTGTAGAACTTGAGTTTTGCACTGGAGTAAACGAGGCCATTATTCACATGCTTAAAATTGGGCATATGCTCAAGTGCTTTGCCTTTGGGATAAAGAGCCCATTTGGGACTCTTCAGCACTTAGCTCTGATAAAATCCATCAGTCTTGCTTACATGATTAAAACAAAAGCATCTTTCTCAGAACTTCCAACAGATGTTTTCATAAATTTTAACATACTTCTTTTCCCTGTCTTGTTCATTTCCAGTACAAGTATTCCCTTAAAAGCTGCATGAGGAAATCTGTAAACTTAATGGAGGAAATTTATTTGGATACAAAGACATCTAAGGAAGCAGAACAGCACTTGCAATGATCTCTGGCCAAACTCTGCACCCGTTAACTTTCTTTATGCCTTTCCTCACTGCCAGATGTGTCTGTGCAAATGAGATTTTTCAAAGTAACTATTGTCGTATCTGAATCCCACAAAATTCTTTCTGATAAACTCTGAGCAGGGTTTTTAACAAACCAAGTGAGTGTGTAAACTGCTTGCTCCATATGTCTGAAGTATATTCTTTCCTCCGCCCGCCCCATTTCGTTCTGTTGACAACATGCATTTTGTCAAACCTCTGACTGCAAATCATTCACTCAATGAAACCGAAAGACATTTCAGCACATTTTTATCAACAGAATGTAATTTTGTGCAAATCATGCTGTCAACAGGAAGGAATGCCAAAAGAAAAGTGAAAGAACCCAAACCCATTTTGTCCACAAAAAATAAATTACAGTTTTCTTTTATTTTGTTGACAAAATGGAAACAGCAAAATTTCCCCATGTGTGGACAAGACTGAGATTGAGCTCTTAATTTAGGAGACCAAATGGTAATTGATAGAAAAATACCAACACTATGAAGGACAGCTGAGATGCTAAGTCAGAAGAAAATTCTTCCAGCACTGGACACTTCTCACTCTTTTTGTTGCATCAGCAAAATGCCACCTGAGATATTTAATCCATTGCAGCAAAATACTCAGTGATGGGCTCGAATTCAAGGAGGCAGACTGAGCTTAAGAAAAACACAGATGCTGTTCCATGTTGCAGCTGATGCATGGCTTGGGGTGCTCTGCAGGTGCGTGTCCAATGCTGTGTGGTCACCAGGGCTCCTCACACTTTGTGCCACAGCTGCAGCCACCTTCTATTTTTCACCATTGTGATGCTTGCCTCCCTTCTGTTGCTTTGAGTTTTGCTGCTGTTATTACAAAACTTGCTCTTTCAGCAATTGTCTCTGCCTCTCGGGTCCCAGACTGCCTGGCAGGCTGATGGCTGGCACCCCGTGGCACAGCCTGGTGGGCACTAAAGCTCTGCAGGACAAAGCAAAGTCTGGTCTCACTGCCTTGCAATCGCTCTCCATCACAGCACTGGAACCACTTTCTACCTCCCAACAACTAAAGGGCCTTTTTTGCTTGTCCACACTGGATTCCTGCCTGGACCTCTGTTAATGCCCAGCAAAACCCAGTTAGGCAAAATGCCTGGCTTCTCTAAAGATGGAGTGAAAATTGGCACCTGGGAGAAGGAGGTTACAGGAGGACATTAAAACATTTGTTTTCCTACACCTACTTAGGTTTAATTCAAGGTGTGCTCAGCTGATTATGGTTATAATGTTATTTTTTATATAGACAGCTCTTCAATTCTCTTTAATGCTTTGATACTATTTTTCTATGGGCTAGAGTTATTGCTTAATATGGTAAAAAACCACAATAACCTTCCTGGGGTTTTTGGAGAATTTCACTGTGTTTTCAGATCACCTTATCCCTTCCAGTTCTTCAGTGAATTGTTCAAATAAGGCCTTGGAGAACTGACAGTCCCAAAAAGTTTGTATGGGGCTGGAGGAGCAGAGACGCTGGCTGTTATCCAGCATTTTAGAAATCAGAATGAGAATTACCACATGCCATTTTGGTACACACTGTGGGGGAGCACAGATCATTTTCTCCATCAGCCCCCAGTCTTTACTGGGGAAAACGATGCTCCGGCCAAATTCCCCGAGTCCTGCTCATCCACTGGAGAGGGATGAGGGAGAGAAGGTACGCATTGTGAGGCATTAAAAATGGAACTGCTTTGAGCCGCGGGCCAACGCACTGACACCGAAAGCTGGCAGCAAATATGTCAGAGGGATCACGAAGTTGGCATGAGAGGGTTTCAGCTAATACAAGAGATTATTTTCAGGGCCTCACTGCGTGCCAAGCACAACACAAAGCTGGCCTCAGAGAGAGCACTTCTGCTGGAGCCCTGGAGGGTGGCAGCGGAGCGGAGCGGGCGCTCGGGGAGAAACCTGGCCCAGGTTTTTATCTGGGACAGCACCGGGGCTCAGCAGGGAACAGCTACTTTTTGGCTGTGTGTCACTGCTCTGTGTCCAAGGCAGTGTCTATTTGCAGAGGTCTGCCTAAAGTGCCTCTGGGATGGGTCACTTTTCTGAGTTTTCTTCCTGCCTTCACATGGCATTAGGAGAGGGACCTGGTGCATCCCTTCATCCGCACCAGGCTGCTCAAGTGGATTTCAGATTTGAAAGCCATAATTTTTATCAACATCAAGGACCTCCTCCTGTTTAATCCTTACCTGCCTTTCTACCCAAAGTAGCCCCACAGGCAAGAAAGCATTCATTAAAGTCATAGTGTCACTTTAAAGGTGATAGATAGCTTCAGTGGGAAGAAGTATCCTGAAGAATGAAAAATTAATTTCATGCCGTTTTTCTGTGCACTTCTCACGATATCTTCTTGACATTTTGGTTGTGCTGACAGTGCTGCATATCAGAGGTAGGGTTCTTATCTGTGAGGAAAAGATATTCACTTGGTCTGGATGGACAGAAATTTTCCTTCTTTTAAAAGCTGTTATGACAAACCTTTCTGGTATGAAATGGCCTCACCCTGATCAGTTCTGCTGGTGTGTGGTACAGGGTTTTTGCATAAGCATGGAGAATAGAGAGAGGCTGAAAATTGTGCACCCTCCTTCCCCCAAGACTTTGTGCTGTGGCCTTCAGAATCAAGCTCTTGCAATTAACCTGTTTTTTCTTTGTATGTTGGCTTC